TCCCTTTCTTCGGCCAGAACGGATTAATTGGTTTTCAATGCATTCCTATGGGAAATGGTGCTTCGACCTACGAACGTTTCGACCTACGAACGCCCTTCTGGAACGGATTAAGTTCGTAGGTTGAGGTTTGACTGTAGCATGGTAAAAGGAAAAAGAACAGGGAAAGATATTTTCACATACATTACCAGAACTGGCCACTAGAGGACGATAGAGACCATTCTATGTATTCTTCACTAACTAGTATTCATAGCATCTCTAGTGGCCAGTCCTGGTAATACATATTAAAACAGATTTTTTTTCTGGATTTTTTTCTTTTAATATTTTTAATATTTTCAGACCATGGATAAGTGGACACTGATCCTTTGGATAAGGATTCAAGTAGATATTGATCCCTTGGATAAGGAAGACCTAGTGTATTGCAGCATTACGCTCACTCCTGCCTTCCACAGGTTCTGTGTATTGAGAATTGCATTTGTTCCCCTTCCATGCTTGGAAAATACATATACTATACACATATGATGTACACACATGCCTCTGTTGTAAAATCCTTCTTGCTTGCTTTCCAGTGTTATCGCTGAACCAAGGCTCATAGGGTCAAAGCCCCTAGACTTTTCTTTCCACAATTAATCTGCCACCCAAATTTCCTCAGACCTTAGCTGCAATCTTCATAGAATCATAAAATCAGAGAGTTAGAAGAACCCTATAATGTCATAGAGTCCAACTCTATGACATTGCAGGAATCCGGATCATAGCAGATCTGACAGATGGTTGTCCAATTTTCTTTTGAATGCCTCTAGCGTTGGAGCACTCGCCACCTCCTGAGGTAATTGGTTTCATTGTTGCACTGCTCTAACAATTAAGGTATTTTTTCTTGACATTCAGCCTAAATCTGGCTTCCTGTAACTTGATCCCATTATTACATGTCCAGCACTCTGGGACAATTGAGGACAGATCCTGCCCCTCCTCTGTATGACTACTATTCAAGTATTTGAAAAATGCTGTCATATCTCACCTCAGTCTTCTTTTCTCAAGGTGAAACATGCCCAGTTCTTTCAGTCTTTCCTCATAGGGCTTGGTTTCCAGCCTCCTGATCATCCTTGTTGCCCTTTTGTGAACTTGCTCCAGTTTGTTCGCATCCATCTGAAAATGTGGTGTCCAGAACTGGACACAGCACTACAATTTATTAACAGATGCCTATAATGTGATAGGTCTAGCCTACAAATTCCTACTGACTCTATCATTTACTCAAGTTGCTTGTGAGAGAAGCTTCTCCACCTTGAGGTTCATCAAGAATCGACTGAGGAATACTGTATCCCAGGACCATTTGGATTCATTCATGTTAATGGCTACAGAAAAAGAAATCCTCATGAGTCTTGATGTGGATGCCATCATCAACAGAGTTGCAGAGAGTAGTGAAGCCCTGCAAAGTCTTCTTATTCCTTGATAACGTATCATTCCTAAGTCTTTCCAGTATTAGTAGGGTTCAAATTTAAAATGTTCAAATCATAAACGAGGTGGAAAGTTCTTGAGCCGAGCCTTTTGTTCCTGGTGGAAGTGTTGATGTAGGAGGATCTGCTACTTATGGCTTGTTCACATTGAACGTTTTGTTGCAGTTATGTTTAATGATCTAATGTTTCAATACATTAAAATAGCTATAAGATCTCACATTGTACTGTTGGTATTTTTTGTTTAGAGAGCACTGGCACTGACAAATTTAAACATTAAATTTTAATTACACTTTTTGTTAAACGTGATGATTTTATAGGTTTAGATTTCCTGATGCTCCTTGTTATTTATACAACCAGGGCAATGATTGGGACAGGGAGAACTCGTAAGCATGTACCAATACCACTATACCAGCAATGCCCTTTCAGCGCGCCACAATATCGTGAATGGAGCCCACAACAGGTGGGCCTGTGTGCTCTAAATGCCAGGGCCGATTTTTGGTCCCAGTCCGGCCCTGCTTGGTAGGATGTAATTCTGAATGGAAGGAAGGAAGGAGGGAGGGAGGGAGGAAGGAAGGAAGGAAGGAGGGAAGGGAAGGGAAAGGAAGGAAAGGAGGAAGGGAGGGAGGGGTAGTAAAAACTTCCTTCCTGGTTCCTCCTCTCCTCTTTTGAAAAACCGCACCTTTCAGTGTTTTTGTCCCCCATAGTTCCAGATCCTGGTATATCCTTGCAGGATGAAGAGTTGCTGGGAGGGTTTTGAGATGGAAAAGAATGGCCAGCTATAAAAGAACCTTCTTCCTACCTGTTCACAAGATAAAAAGTTGGGGGCCATGAAGGTAAAGGTAAAGGTTCCCCTTGACAATCCCACAAGATAAAAAGTTGGAGGCCATGCAGCAAGGAGAAAATTAAAACTAGCAGGTCAACCACTATTTCCTCCCTCCCTTTCTTTTGATACTTCCAGAAAGTGCTGGGAGTGTCAGTGCAAGTGGCCTAACTTGGTTAAGATTTCAGAGGACACAAAAAACTTTAAATATATTTTAGATCAACATTAGTGGGATATTTTTTAAAAGAAATGAATTAAACTGAAGAGTAAATTATACATTTAGTTATTTGTTTTAAAGGAAACCTTAGGAGAAAATGGTGTGTGTGTCACTGGGGTTGCTGCTGTGGTATTCAGACTGGCTCTTCAACCTGGCACGTCCACATATTTGGGAATACAAATCCCACAATTCAGCACTTGCTTGGGATGCTCTTGTTGCCATGATCCGCTTTGCCTCTTCTCATCCTGGCCTTTCAGGTTCTTCTTGTACCTAATTTATTAAAACACTAAAACATGGCGCCTCTTGCAAGCAGGGCCAGCCTGTGTGGCCTTGGATAGGCTGCTCAGAAGTGACAGAAGTACCCCCCCCCCAAGAAGAAGGGGATAGGGAAACACCTCAGAAGTCACAGAAATACCCCCAAGAAGAAGGGGATAGGGAAACACCTCTATATTCTCTACCTGGAAAACCTGAGAAGATTTTTTTTATAAATCACAATTGATTTGAAGATGCATGATGATGATGATATTCAAATTGTGGTAAAATGTTAAATTGATTAGGATCCAGTTAAATTAAGTCAGCATTCTAATTGTGGCTGGCCCTTCCTGGGAAATAAATTAAAAGATTAACCACATTCAGGTCTTTTTTAAAAAATCATTTCTTACAAGCTCTGCTTCTAGACATACAGTTCTTCATGCTATCCGTCAAAAAGCATTCAGCAACTATTATTTCTTTTTCTGCCTTATATTTTTGTAATAAAAAAGAAAAGGAAAAAAAAGACTGAAGAAGCAAAAGAAAGACAGGTGATGTTCCAAAAGGAAAACAGCATTGCCACCTGGGCACCTGGGCTGTTTGTTCTGTGGATAAAGTAGGGTCACTGCGTGATACAAGGATCCTTACTTTTCCCCCTCCCATCCTGTCCCTTTCTCACTGTTTAGGAGTCTGCTGGCAGACAGACCAAGTGCCCTCGCCAGACGGTCCCAATTTATTGCTTGGAAAGGGGTGGTTATCATTAGGGTGAGAACACTTACGACCAGGGGACCCTACTGCTGCAGGTTGCCCAATTCCGGGATTTAAAAGTTTCCCTGTCTTTTCCACGGCTCCTTCCTGCCATCCCATTAAAATAATAATAATAATAATAACACAGCCTTATTTCAAAAGTTGGCTCATTCCCAGGAGGATTTCCTTATGAGCATTTCTTTCCCAAATGATTGTGCCACTCCTTAATTAGCGGGAGGACTGTGTGCCCCCCCGTCGGATTTGCTGCCTCAGGCACGAAGCTGTCTTGGGCTGCCTTTCTGAGGCTGTTGTCAGCACAGCTCAAACATCGCTGAGCGATAAAGCCCAATTAACCTGGTGTGCAGAGTTTGTGTTTGACTCTACTTTATGTATAATGGGTGTGCTAAGCTTTCCCAGGATCTCCCACTCCGTAAAAACAAAGTCTACCTCTTTTGAACATGCAAAGAGGAGGGCCAGGTAGATCAAACGAAAGCCCAGGCTCTTGGGCTGTGGGGCTTTGCCCTACAGGAGTCCAAAATATCAATTCCTGACACAAAACAAGCCCCTAATCTACCCCCAATAAAGCAGCCTCTCAGGGATAATCAATAGCTTGAGCTTTATCACCAAGTCAGCTGGAGGCTTGCAGAAAGCTTTGCCGCTCTGATTGTGTTAAAGATGCTGACCTCTGGCAGAATTAGAACCCAGTTCAATCCCACTGATTCCTGTGGGGCTTTAGAAAAGCTGAGTTCAGCCTCCACTGTAAATATGTAACAGGAGGAGACAAAGCGAAGAAGACTTATCCGGACAGGGTCAGGACCTCAGTCAGTTGGCTGGACAGACTTTGTCCCGTTTCTCATATCTCCTTTCGGCCCAGCATGTCTAGGTCTTGGTTTGCCCAAAGAGCAGACAAAAATGGAAAACCTGTGTTTTTCTGCATGACTTTTAATATGTCTTTGCATTCAATGTGCAGAGTGATTTTTTAAAAATGCATCTTTCATCAGTTCTGGTAGGGAGTAATAATATAATTCTTTGCCAGTTTGGCTTCTAATAATCAAATGTTTCAATCCCTTTTTACTGAACAGGCTTTCTGCTCTGTCGTCTACTGCAAATCAACCCCATATGATTCCTCACTTTAGTCCTCTAGTCTGCCACAAACTCCTTTGGTGGTGGTGGGGATGGGAGTGGGCTTTGTCCACCCAAATGTCCCAGTTCTACCTGTGGAAACCTATCGGTGGTGATGCCTGCACCACCAGATGCAGGAAGCCTAAGGCCCTCAAACAGGGCATTCTGGAGGAGGCGGTTACTCCAAACAGGCTTTGGATCCCTGCTAGATCCCTTCTGGAGCTGGTATAACTGCCCCATCTGCTTCCAAAGGGAGTGTGTGGGGGAATGTTAAAATGCCATTATTTGTGGGGGATCAGAATGAAAAAAAAAAGATCACAAAATGGTCCTCCTTGGCCTGATATAGGCTTAGAATAAGACAGAAGAACCAGGGCTGTGTTATTTCTTCTTAGGATTTGACCTATTAATTCCAGCCATGGGAAAGATTACTTTATTTCTTTCGGACTTCAACTCCCAGAATTCCCTAGCCAGCATGGCCACTGACAAGAGATAAAGGTAAAGGTTCCTCTTGACATTTAGTCCAGTCGTCTTTGACTCTAGGGGGCGGTGCTCAAGACGTTTCCAAGCCATAGAGCCAGCGTTTGTCTGAAGACAGTTTCCATGGTCAAGTGGCCAGCGTGACTAGACACAGAACGCCATTACCTTCCCACCGAGGTGATACCTATTGATCTACTTGCATTTTACATGCTTTCGAACTGCTAGGTTGGCAGGAGCTGAGACAAGCGATGGGAGCTCACTCTGCCTCGTGGCTTCGATCTTGCAACTGCTGGTCTTCTGACCTAGCAGCACAGAGGCTTCTGCGGTTTAACCCACAGCGCCACCGCGTCACTGGCAATAGGAGGTCAATTATTTCTGGGGGATTCAGGGACTTATGCTCCGACACCACAAATATATACTGTACACACCTCTAGAGTTGCAGTAAAAAAAACATCCGTTTCCCCATTTGTGGTTCATTAAATTGTAAACTATCTGAACCTTATGAGGAGAAATTGAGGTGGTGGTGGTGGTGGGGGAACACCCAGTTTCAAATAAACCCTATTGTCTCAGTTGATCACCTGTTATCTCACATTGGCAGAGCAGTGGGGGAGCCCTGCCTCCTTATATTTAATGGAAAGCCGTTGGCCTTTGACAGACAGGCAGTCCTGCAGAAGCGATAATCTGTCCCTGAACCCAGGAAGCCATTGCATGCAGCTGGGCAGTTCCAACACTGTAACAACCTTTTCTTCAAAATTGGCAGCAGCTCCACTTTGGGAAAAAGCAAGCGTCCTTTCCCTCAAGGGTGAAGGGACTCACCAAACAGCCCAGACCGTGCTCAAAGCTCAAAGCTCAGAGCTGGCAAATCAGGCGTGTGGGGGTGGCTGCTGTTTCCTTGGATTTTGTTGCTGTCACCGGACACTGTGGGTTGGTTGACAGTTGTTGTTGTTGCCGCTGCTGCTGTTTTCTCTCTGGAAGACATCTTCTGTTATTCATGCCACAGATTCAGAGAACGCCCTTGGCCAGTGCCGGCTTCAAGGAAAACAAGTTAGGAGTGTGCGGAGGAGCTGATTTGGAACAGGATAACGCTCAATGTCTTTTTTTTTTTCCTCCTCCCTCCAACCAGCTGTTTGTGGTTGCCCCCTGCTCTATCATTTATTTTAAAAAAAGAACTGGTAAAGCTGCAATTCCGGCTTTGCTTAGGCAGCAGGTTTTAGATCGTTAGCAACAAGGGCCCTGGAGATAGGCCGGCTTCGTGGACGACACTTTAAAACAAATTTACCTTTCTCTGTACATGTCAGATTAATGAATGCTGTTGACTGGATCTCTGGCTGTTGAGCAAAGGCAAGGGTGACTATTTGTCACAGGAGGCGATGCAAGGCTGGTTTGAAAGGCTTTATGGTTTGAAAGCGGGATGGAAACCTTCCTCGCCGACAGTCATATTGATTCCAATCTTCTTCTTTCTTTAGCTTTGGATCCGACCCTATTAGGAGGAGGAGAGAGAACAATTTAAACTTTGAAAGTGTACAAAATAAAATCAATTCTTACAGGGGTGGTGAGGGTGAGAAGCCTGTGGCTCTTTGGGTGTGGTAACTTCAATCCCCAATCCTCCCTCATTGCTAGGCCGGCTGGCTGAGTCTGATGGGAATGACCTCTGGAAGGTTGTAGGTTCCTCAGACCTGAGATTTGTCACTTCCAAATATCTGTGGGAGAAAATGATGGATCCAGTCCATGTGTGTCCCTGCGGAATTAGTGGAATTAGATAAGTAACAATGAATAAGGGCCAGTGCTGAGAAACAAGTAGCTGAATATAAGGAGAACTGATGTGTGAACTGCAGCATAAAACATGGAATAAGGACCAGAGAGAGTCCTTAGAAGAGGTCACAAGTGCATCAACCCTGGACAGAATTTAGACCATTTACTCTTCTTTTTTAACCATAAGCCCCAGAAGCTCCTAAGTGAAAATGGCTGGAGAATCCTGGGAGTTGTAGTCCCCCCCAAAAAAAGAAGAGGAGGAGGAGGAGGAGGAGATGACGTTTTCCATGCTCTGATTCTGTGGACAGTCAAATTACCCCCAAACCAGGTTATGAGATGAAATGTACTTCCAAAGGAAGGCTGGAATTTGGATGAAGAAGGCGAGGCAGGCAGATGGGGGAAGGTTGACTGACCAGGAACTGAGCATCGTGGGTGGAAAGTAAAAGGACTTTTTACAAGTGCTTTGTTTCTGTTACTCCCTGAACTGTTTCACCACCCACCACCCTCAAAATGTCATTTGCTGCCTATGTTACAACATTGTTTTAAAAAGTCACTTCGTGAGGAGCTTTGGGAGCTCCACACATTTTGGATGGAAGCTCCATAGTTCCTCGCCACTCACTGGAAGGGACTTCCCAGGAGCCAAACTGGAGAACCCTGATGGCCAAAGGGCTCCTACATTATCCATGCCTTTTTCATTCCTTTTGTTTGTTTGTTTGTTTTTTCCTCTTTTTTTCATGTGATTGGCATGAAATGTGAAAAATTCACTAAAAATACTCTCCAAGAGTAGCAGAACCAGTAACAGCAAAAATCAGCCTGTGCCACAATTAGCATCATTTCCCCTCCTTGTTTTATTTATTTTTTTGAAAGGGAACTTCTCGTGTGCCCGACTTGGTAACTTGTTCCAGGCAGTTCTGCTACTTGTAACTCATTCCTCCCAAGCTTTGTAAAGGAGGAAAAGACTGACACCTAGAGCGAGGCTGGGAGCTGAGCAAGCCAAACCCAGCGTCTGACGGGTTGCCTGGGCGAAGCGCCAGCTCTGGCCTGAAAACATTTAGACCGAAGCCAAGTCAGGAGGAGGAATCCACAGGCTGCCTGGAGGGATGGAGCCAGTCTGGGATTGAGGAGGATAAGACCGTTCCATTCATCCTCCACTCCGCAGTCGGTTATCTCAGGGGGCAACAGTGCAGAGACCAGCAGGCTGGAAGATCAAGTTCAGGCTGATCCTGACAAAGAGTAAATTTGGTCCCCAAGCGAAGTCCCATATGAATGGGCTGGCAGCCGCGAAACTGCTTGTACCTGCTGTTTGTGCACATTTTTTGCTGATGTTTGCAGAGATACCATGAATGTATGGGTTGCTACATTTACCGGTATATCCAATATTTCTTCCAGCTGAATCTAAGGCAGCATGCATGACTCACTTCTTCCCTGCTTTATCCTTGCAACAACGACCCAGTGAGGTTGATCAGGCTCTCCTAAGTCCCTGGTCCTACTTTCAAGCTGCTACACCATAAGGATGTCCAGTATCTTGCGGAAAACCAGTGTATCAATTATACAAATATAAAATATTAGAGGAGGAAGGAACAGTATATTTGTGTCAAAACTAGAGCAACGTACAAGCAATGCAGGTTTAATACTATCCGTCTTTGTTTAAAAAATTGTAGTTTCCTACTTGTAACATTCTTTTGTGGTAAGAAAAGGGGCGAAGAAACAGTTGGAAAACACAGGAGGGTTAAAAATGTAAGAAAACAATGCATAAACTTCTGTAAAATTCTATGGATAAATTAGAACACTCAGAGGTGCCTCAAAACACAGCTGCTACACAGAGCATATTTAAAGCACCACTAGTGTTAGGATGATTTGGAATTCTTGTCGGAGTGTACAACAGCCAAATGCTGAGTTTTTATACCTTTTGTTATGAGGCTGTGACTACACTGGCTCTTTTTGTGTGGTGTGGGGTGATCTAAATAGGGTCAATTGAGGTGGGGGTGGGAGAAGCAATATGTTATTTGGTACAATCCTGGTGCCCAAATGACCTACTGATCTTAAGCAGCCCTCTGGCTCCTAAAAAGAGATTGGTATCACAGAGCTGCAAAGGAGCTGCTCTTCCTGTGCTGTGCAAGGAAGCAAGAAAGAAGATGATGAGAGGGAGGCTGGGAGCCCCTCCTCTCCTTCTGCATTGGGAAAGGAAGAAGGGGGCGGAAAAAGGGAAGGATGACAAGCAGGAGAGGGATGGGAGAAAAAAACACACACAGGCAAAAGGAGATGGGAGGATCCCCCCCAATTGCTGTGCATACTTGTGTGTGTCTGTGCAGGTGAGCACTGAGGAAGGTGAGGCACAAAGCGAGAAGAGAGCAAACAGTTCTGACAGCCATCAGAGAAAGGCCCTGAAAAGAGGCACTGCATTGCTCGAGACATCAACAAACCATCCAGTTGGAAGGGAAATTATTATTTTTGCCTGTAGCAGACCATCGCTGATGCAGTGAATCACTTAAACTAAATTTTTTAAAAATGTATTTTTTTCCTTTGCTTTGTGTGTAGCGGTAATAAGAAAAACTGCCCTCCACCATAGTTGCAATTGGCACTTCACACAAAGACAAAGATTTTAAAAAAATATAATTTAGCCTTAAGTGATTCAGTGCAACACTTCACAATACCAGAAATTGATGGCAGAAGAATCCTTGGTAGCTTTAACAGTTGCAAGGCTCCATTTGAGGTTCTCTCCCCCCCCCCCGCAATTGTATTCAATGAGAATTGACTTAACAAGAGCACGCCAACCCACACCTAAAAAGGGGGGGGGCTCAAAAAGGTTCAGGTTGAGGTGCCCTGGGGGCAAACTGGTCCACTTTAGCCATTATGTTGTGTGGTCATCAGGAAAAAAAGCAAATCCATCCACACCTGTCATGTGCCAAACAGCAGGGCAAACACCCAGGTCTTTCAAAACTGCTATTTTTGTCATTTTTCAGTTGCCTTCCCCAACATGGCATTTTCCAAAGGCACTCAACTATGAATCTCACTATCTGATTGAAAGTCAGGGATGCTGGAATGTGCAATGCAGTGCTCTGCAAATTGCCATACTGGAGAAAGGTGCCCATCATCCAACATCTAACAAAACAATTTGGTAATGTTTTGACACTGCTCTGCATCTATTCTCTCCAACCTCCCGCCTCGACAACTCACCCTTCAGATACTGTGGGTTGTTTACCTGGATTAAGAAAAGGTAAATAAGGAATTGTGTCTTCACTCCCATTCGATCCACTGCAATGCTGAAGTGCACCAATTAAAAAAAATTAACCATGGAGAATTCTTACTTGCAGAATAAAATATTGAGTGCCCCATAGTATATGCAGAATATTTCTCTGCACTGTTCCATCCTCTGTCTCCCCACTCACTTAGAATCCAGACACTTGGTCTGCAAAGATCAATAATAGCACACAGGTTTTGTATGCAAGGGACTGGAATCCCAAATTCAATCTTTGCTGTCTGCAGTTACTAACAAGAGCTCTCTGGTTGTTCTCCCTTGGGACCATCCTCTGCAATGAATAATGAAGTAAAACCTCCCATTCACTGTGCCATAGGAACAAGGAGTGTGTTTAACCAACAAATGCAATTTAAAATCTTGTTGAGAGAAGGGGGTGGGAGAAATGAGTTAATGCAGAATAAATACCATTTTACAGGAGGCATCTTACTGGTGTTTGCATAAGGTTTTCATTAACATGCCACAGCTAATTGTAGCCAGTTAACCCACTACTGGAATGTGTCTTGATTGCACAACTGGCATGCAGCTGAGACACAGCCGGGCACCTCAACAATTAGCAGTGGCAAGTTATGGAAGTCAGAGACCAATAGGATTCTGGACAGCTGGTTCATTCCAAACTCTGATAGTGAGAGCTGCTAACCAACAAATTAGTTTAAATCTCTTTGGGTGATGGGGCCGATTTTTGCATAGCAAGTTAAATTTACCTAGTTAAAGTGCAATCTTGCATGCTTCTCCTTCAATATAGGAGGTCTGTGGGGAGTATGCCCTGTAAGTGCCACTAAATTGGAGGTTCCCCCCCTTTCACTTCAGTTCAGTCTAGGTGACCCCCTCCCCTTTCCTTTCTCTTGCATCCTTTGTTAGACACCTTTCCTCTCTCCTCCATTTCCTGCTCTCTGAATATAGGTGTGAGGAGACATAACTCCATACTATACACATATATGTAAAAAGAACAAAGCCCATCATCTATGGCTAATAATATTTATTTCCTTTGACCAAGAAGCATCTATACTAATCATTTTTCCTTTTCCAAGGGAAGGGGGTGATTCTGGGCAGATCTCACCGTGGTTTTGGCTCCACTGTAAGAGAAATGCCTAAATTTGTAATCCCCCCAGGAGTTAATTCCAAGCTTTGATGCACTAGCAGGCTCACCCCCTTCCACCACCATGCCTTTGCCTGAAATCTACTCTTATCCCCACCATTTCAGAGTTTATTTCAATTGTGAGCTGCATTCTAAGACCTAGGGGCTGTCACTAAACGTATACCTCTTTTGCGGCTTGGTTTACAATGGCCTGACTAATGTACTCTTTGGCTCCCACCCACACACTATTTCTGGCTACAGGCCTACTCTTAAGGAGGTGCTGGAATTATTTCCACAATGAGGAACACAAGCTACAAGTATTTGCCCAGGAGAGTTTTCTGCAGGAAAGGACTTTGAACCAGGCAAGTGGGCGTCCCTGGCTCTCAAAGCAGTGCCTGGAGCATCTGGGCGTCCCTTGTGTGTTTTGTCATGGAGAGAGCAGTATTTATGCTTTTGCCCTTCAGCCATATAGGCCCCCACATACTGCCTTTGTTCTTCCTTTCCAGGGATTGGGAAGAAAGGCATGTTAAATGGCGTTTTTTAGGGCACTGCAGGCACCTGATATTAAACTTGACAAAGAGGGGTAGAGAAAGCTGCCTTGGGCATAGATAATTCTTGCAAAAGGGAAAGAAAGAAAGAAAGAAAGAAAGAAAGAAAGAAAGAAAGAAAGAAAGAAAGAAAGAAAGAAAGAAAGAAAGAAAGAAAGAAAGAAAGAAAGAAAGAAAGAAAAAGAAAAGAAAAGAAAAGAAAAGAAAAAAGAATGATGGCTTCAGTTCCTAGGCTTATTTCCTTTTTCCTCTAATGAAATGGGAAACCTCCCCACCCAGCTGGGTCTCAGCCAAATCCTGAATGGTTTGAAACTATGTGGGGTGATGAGAGCCTGTTTGGAAAGGGTGGTTTCCTCCTTGTTTTTTGTTTTCATTGACAATAGGAACTGGTGCCAGAAAAAATGAGCACTGAGTTGAACAGAGCTGAGTCGTGTGTGACATTTTCATAAACACCACACTTCACCTCAGGGTGACTGCTGACTCTGGGATATATCACACAACACTGTGGATCACCACTCCCTCATTAGAATGGCCCAGCGTTGGATTCAGAGATCCAATGACCACAGCAAATTTGACCAGATCACCCCAGTTCTGGCTAGCCTTCGCTAGTTACCCATTGTGTCCAGGATCATGTTCAAGGATCTGTCACTTCTGTATAAAGGCCTTCACAGTTTGGGATCACCTGTCACTGTTACCTGTCAGAACATCTTTTCCCAAAGTCATCTGCCCACCCCACCGCCCAGATCCTCTCAGACCAGGCTCCTCCATGTAGGCACCCTAAGAGAGGACCAAATGTCATCTAATAGAGGTAGGGCCTTCACAGTGGTGGCACAAAGGTTATGGAATCAATTCCCAGAAGACCTACACCTCCCCCATACTTATTTAGGAGGCAGTTAGAAACACTAATTTTCAGAGAGATCTTTCAGGCCCACCCTGGTTGAATATCTGGTCTCCTGCTCCACTTCAGTCTGAAAATTGGTTAGCACCATTGGTTTTTAAGTTTGGAGATTATGATTTTTTAGTTGTGTGGTAATTTAGTTTTGTTGCTGTTTGTTTTAACTACTTGTAAACCACACAGAGGATGTGGTAGCACTGCAGGTTAAACCACAGAAGCCTCTGTACTGCAAGGTCAGAAGACCAGCAGTCGTAAGATCGAATTTACGTGACGGAGTGAATTCCCGTTGCTTGTCCCAGCTCCTGCCAACCTAGCAGTTCGAAAGCATGTAAATGCGAGTAGATAAATAGATACTACCACGGTGGGAAGGTAACGGTGTTCCATGTCTAATCATACTGGCCACGTGACCACGGAAACTGTCTATGGACAAACACTGGCTCTACGGCTTGGAGACATGGATGAGCACCACACCCTAGAGTTGGACATGACTTGACTAAATGTCAAGGGGAACCTTTACCTTTTTTCAAACCACACAGAATAGTGCGGTTTACAAGAAAGGTGGTTGTATATTCAACCAACCAACCAACCAACCAATGTGTGACCCATGATCTGGGATAGATGGACCGATGGGCACACAGCTGAGATACCATTTCTTGTCTTCTGTTGGCTTAGAGCAGGAGTTGTCAGGAGGTAGACCTACCAGTCATTTGGGTAGTTTGTTGTAGATCAGGAAGCAGTAGTTCTCATGGCAACTACTGAAGTCTCAGGGAATTATTATGCTTTTCTGGGTCTCCAGGCAGGGAGAAAAATCTCGGGGTGCTGGAGGAGGAGAAAGTGTAGATTTGTATGTGAGGTGGCTGGCTCCCAACCTTGGGTAATCCAGATGTTCTTGAACTAAAACTCCCAGATGCCTTCACCACTAGCTGTGCTGGTCAGGATTTGTGGGAATTGTGGTCCAAGAACATCTGGGAACCTAAGGTTGGGAAGTACTGCTTTAGAACATGATCTTCACCTATCAATAGGTGGTGTCAGGTCCCCTGGCTCTTCGTAAAGCAGGTATTATTTCACAACAGCTGTGCATAGACCTGCCTGTGACATCGCAAGAGCCTGCTCTCTAGTTTCAGGTTTGGGCCCTGAAATCTCAAGGACAGGATAGCTGCTGATCTGGCAATTCTGCTTCCGGGCCAAATTCAAGGTAGTGATGTTAATTTATAAAGCCCTTTACAGTTTACAATCTCGCTATCTGTCAGAGCACCTGTCCCTCAGGTCATTCTCCCGCCCCATCCGCACCTCCCAATCCTTGATGGTGTGGGTGGCCACTCCAAGAGAGGCCCGGAAATTGTCAACTAGAGGCCAGGACTTCTCGTTATTTGTTCCCCACTCTCAAACTTCCTCCCTGTGGAGGTGTGATTGGCCACCACCTTCCTGAGATTCTGTAAGCAAATGAAAACCTGTCTTTTTACCCAAGCCTTTATAAACCTCACTCCTTTGGAATATTAATTTTGTACTGAGTTTATGCCGGCCCATGGTTTGCCAAATGGGTCTTTGCTTTTATATGTTCAATTTGTTAAAAAATTGTTGTACAGTCTATTTTTATTATTTTCTTGACTGCTGCCCAGAGTAGCGGCTTGTCCACCAAATGGGTGGGGTACAAGTTTAAACTAACTAACTAACTAATTAACTAACTAACTAATTAACTAACTAACTAATTAACTAACTAACTAATTAACTAACTAACTAATTAACTAACTAACTAATTAACTAACTAACTAATTAACTAACTAACTAATTAACTAACTAACTAATTAACTAACTAACTAATTAACTAACTAACTAATTAACTAACTAACTAAATAAATAAATAAAGTAATAAAGATATTAAATCAAGATTAAGATAAGGAACAATGATCTGATACTGTATAAATACCCAACGTCGGGGCCAAATAGGAAATAGGCTTTTTAAACGATTCAAAAGGCTCACCACTGTTGGGAACAGAATACAGTGGTGCCTCGCATAACGAGCGCACTGTTTAACGATGAATTCGCATAGCGATCTATTTTTGGGGATCGCTAATGCGATCGCATTGCGATGTTCTGAATGGGCAAACATCACATTGCGATGATCGGTAAGTGTTTCGCTTACCGATCTTCGCATTGCGATGTTTTTAGAACAGCTTATTGGTGGTTCCAAAATGGCCTCCGGGTGCCCAAAATGGCCACCGCAAGCATTTTCACGTGCTGCCCTCGCTTACCGAGGCAGCAAAAAGGTGGCGCTATGGAGGATCTTCGCTGAAAGGTGAGTTTGGGCCCCATAGGAACGCATTAAACGAAGTTTAATGCGTTCCTATGGGGTTTTTAGTTCCGTTTAGCGATGTTTCCAGATAGCGACGATTAATCCGGAACGGATTAATGTCGCTATGCGGGGCATCACTGTACTGGATTATATGGACCATTGATACAATTCAGAGAAACAGCTCTTATCTTCCTATCTATGCCCCATCCACCCACACTCAGGAAGGGTGTGCTTGTTAGACAAATTAAAAACTAGAGCAGTTCACATTATCAGCAGAATCAAAATGTCCTTGACTGCAGTAGTCTGGAGAATGTGCATTTAAATGTTCTCCCAGTCAAAATGTCCTTGACTGCAGTAGTTCCTACTATTGGGAGTGTCTGGAGAATGTGCATTTAAATGTTCTCCCATTAAAAACAACATGGGTGTATATGCATTTTTTTTGCAAGAGGCATATCACAAACATTCACTGAACCTTATTCTCTAACATGCTGTTTTATGTGCAAGAAGCCGTTTCCTCACCGTCCACTTAAAAGAGTCTTTCTTTCTCCCTGCAGCCCAAAGGAGTCGAGTCCACAGTGGTAAGGAAACCTTTTGCCTCCAGGGTCTCTGCTGATTCTCTGCAAACTGACCGCGAACTCTGTGTAGCACAGGCTACCTACAAATAAAAGCAACATCTCCGAGACTGATCTTGGACAGATGCTGGCAGTAAGGGAGCCCAGATGCTGGGCCTTGAAGAAAGGCAGAGGGCGTGTTTCCTGAAGCATTTGTTTGGATGTGGTCTTAAAAAGGGTTCAGGATTATTTTCTCTGAGGTTGATGCATCAGGTGAAGGTGGGAGGGACCCGAGAACACTAGGAGGAAATGCTGGTAGTCTTGACTCCCTGAATGTAAATCATAGCCCATTGTGCCTTTCACAGTCCTCGTATGTTATTTGCTTTGAAATAAACATTTCTAAGAGGATGGTCACACTAATCCATTTCAGCAAAAACAAACAGTCTTCTTGACACCTTTGATTATGTCATGCATTTTCATAGGTATGTGAGACAGGAGGCGAAAGGGGTGTCCCACTTACCGGAGAGCCATCCCTCCTCCGTACTGAAGAGAAGGCGTTACAAACCCAGCCTGTCCCAACATTTAAAAAGACAGAGCAGCAAGGGGCAAAGACAGATGAGCTAGGAAGGGAGATGCAAAGACGGACCGTTGAAGAGGCTCAGGGAGGAACAGCGGGAAAGGAGAGGAAGAAGAAGGTGGAGATAGAGGTGGGAACAGCAGAGATAGGAAAGGAGAGGAAGAAGAATGTGGAGATAGAGGCGGGAACAGCAGAGATAAAAGAGAAGAGCAGTTACCGCCAGGCTGGGAGTGGGTGTGGATGGAAGACCCATGGACTGGGGCTTGGGAGAGGCTGAGAGTACCCAAGGAAGAAGCCGACTGTAGGAAAAGAAGGCGGAGGCTAAAGAGTGGAGAAGGAAGCTTAGAGAAGGAAAAAGTAAAGGAGAGAGCGATTGGAATAGAGGATAAGCGAGATGAGGAGGAAGGGATTCAGAGAGGACCCTGGAAGGATCGTACATCAGAAGGATGTCCCGTGTGGGATGATGGCCAGGATGATGAGACCGTGCCCTTGTTGGAAGGTGAAACAGGACAGGCTATAGCCACTAATATCTTTACAATTATTTTCATAACCAGTTTTTACTTTTGTTTGTTTTCAATGGAAGCTGTAGGTTAGAAAAGCCATGTTTTACAGAACCAGGCAAGGGAAATTAAGATTTTGTTTTACTTTTCTTCTCTTCCTTCCTTCCTTTCATTCATTCATTATTTTTATTTTAACTGCAAATGATCATAACATTTCTTCATGCCAATATCTTTACAATTATTTTCATCACCAGTTTTTACTTTTGTTTGTTTTCAATGGAAGCTGTAGGTTAGAAAAGCCATGTTTTACAGAACCAGGCAAGGGAAATTAAGATTTTGTTTTACTTTTCTTCTCTTCCTTCCTTCCTTTCATTCATTCATTATTTTTATTTTAACTGCAAATGATCATAACATTTCTTCATGCCTTCGCAGACTGCTTGTGAGGACAACACGACCCCCTAGGGGTCCGCAGACCGCAGGTTAAGTACCTTCATCCTAGACTATCACTCTATCCACTAAACCACTCTGTCTCTCACTTATAATAAAAATCATGTGTCCCCTTACAGGGATCCTTCACAGGTAAAGAACACTCTGAAGTGGTTTCCCATTCCCTTCTGGGAGCATCCTGGTACTGTGCAGCTTGCCCAAGGCCACACAGGCTGGCTCTTCTGGAATGCCCATTGGGGAACTGAATTTCCAAACTCTGGCTCTGCAGTCAGATATCTAAACCCCTGAACTATTTAGTGTATATATTAACTAGGCACCAATTATATTTTGTTTAGTAGAGATGGGCACAAATTTAAAAAATGAATTGCAAAATTCATCAACAATTGCTAATTTGTTGATTTCTATCCATTCAGACTTTACCAAACTTGCAGGGGTTGTAGAGGAGAATCAGGGGAAAGTTTCTCTCTGATTTTGGTGTCTCTGTGTGCTTAGGGAGCTCTTTTATAGGGTTTAAGGGAAAAAATGAATTGATGAATCAATTCATCAATTTGTCAGGGGAAAAAATCATAAATTCATTATTTGTGATTTGTTCAACCTTGACAAATCACAAGTCAAAACAAATCACCATTTCTCCGATTCATGTCCATCTCTATTGATTTGATAATGGATAGTTTTTAAAAAGACACTCAGTGACACCAGCTTCTGTGTGTTGCTTTAACATTAAGCAGCAACTGCAGTCTTTTAAAAAAGACAGTTGGAACGGGGCGTTTTGCGTATCATTGCCACGGAGGAACAAGTTGGATGACCTTTTTTTCCCTCGGAGCCAAGTTTGTTTCAGGGAGAGCGTAGAGAGGATATTTATTTGAAATGGCTCCCTGGAAACACACAGCAAGGCCAGAGAGGAGGCAGACGGCCCAAAACACGAATCCAAATATTAAAAGGCGCCTGCGTCCATATGTGCAAGACAGGCAAGGCTGGAGCCCTAGGATATCAACTCAATACCACTGTCCTCCGTGCCAAGAGATGGGGTGAAATGACCGACCCCAAGCGAGAATGTTTCCCCCACCCCTAAGAAAGCAAGGGGGAACTGGTTGAAAGTTGAATGGAAATCAACAAAACTAGTCTTGCACTCTTGCGGAGAAAACTATGTTTCATTTAGATTGGCCTGGGAGATTATGCCCCAGAGATAGGATTTAATTCCCATTCTCTCCATTTTAAGCCCCCCCCCCCAGATTTGCCAGACTCAGGAAGAAATGAGGTGGGTGTGAGATGGAAAATATGTTTTGTAATTTTTTGGGGGGGAAAGCAAATGTATATTCCAGCACAGAAAAGGGTGTGAAGCCTTGAAATAAGCGAGCAGAGAACAAAATATATACATTTTAAAAACACATGGAAGTTTCATGGAGGCATAAGGAAGCAAAAAGGGAAGCAGAATGCTTCTTAATTAGTAAGGTCAGGCAGTCAAGGCCAGCCTCTAAAATCTGATGTGAGATTAGATATGCCTCTCTCTCTGTCTCTCTCTCTCTCTAAGCTTGGAATTAACAATATACAAGTAGCATAGCTAGCTTTACTTTGGATAACAGGAATAGAGTAACTTCTAGTTACTGTGAAAAGTTACAATCAAAGAGCATTTAAGGAGTGTCTAGACAGGATTCCCTCCCACCCTTTATGTCATTTGCTTACCAATCCAAAGTGGCTGTGTTTTTTTTTTTTTTTTAAAGAGAGACTTAAAGATAAGAGAGAATAACAAAAATAAAGTAACAGGCAATACAGAAAGTAATTTAAGAAACTATGTTTCCTAGCATTTTAACAAATATCAACATTTGGTCACTTTTCCGACACTATAACAAGTAGTATAAATAAAAGATACTGGAAAGTAACAAAAATAAAATAACAGGCAGTGCAAAAAAGTAATTTAAGAAACATCTTTTCCAAACATTTTACCAAACAGCAAGAGTTGATCACTTTTCAGATATTGACTGTCATTAACAGTGCAAATTACTTTTGAAAGGTAGCTTTCCAAGCTCACCTGTTCTTCTAGGAAGAAAAGGGCACTCTCTTTTATGCAGTCAGCCCTAAGGCTATGCCACGGTCTATGAGAGCAGATACCGGATGTGTGGCTGTGGTGGAGTCCCCGGGGTCCCTTTCTGTTGGCGGATAGCACTGTTATGGGTGTCACACAGCCCTGCTCTGACTGGTTCAAGGCCCTCAGGACGCCATACCCCACCTGGGAGTCTGATTTGCTCACAGATGAAGTAAAGAGGAGGGAAAGCCATGTTCTCCTTCGCCTAAGGCAGTCAAAGGCCAACCTTGCCAACGTTGGCCATAGGATGGAAAAGAGACCACCACATCCTCGTGGGCCTGACAGTCTCAAGGCCCCTTTCCTTCCCTCTGTTACCTCCGTAGGTCTCAGAGAAACATATACGCCTTGTGGTGGGGAAGGCTCGAGTAGCCTTGCCCTCTCCCTTGGAAAGCTATGGGGGAGGCACTGGGTGATGCAGTTGGCGGCCTTCCGGCTTAGATCAGAAGCATGTTGGTTTACTTATCTGGCTATTGCTTCACAGAACAGGACGGAGCTGAAGAAACCTAATACCTCTGGCATTTGAAATTCCCATCAGCAGACTCCCCCTGCTGGGAGGTTAACTGGGATGCCAGAGACGCTTCAGTGCACACACTTGTGTGTAGCAGAGAGAGAGAGAGAGAGAACAGCGGCTAGTGAAATCTCTCCCTGGGTTGCTAATGAATCCACTTTAGTGCTGTAGACTGTGATTTGAGAAGAGGAAGCCAATGTGGATTTCCACAGGGAAAATCATTCTGGGTAAGGTGGGGCTGGGGAGCTGAGACTGTCATCCACAGTCTTGATATTCTGCCTTGCTGGTGGGCCAAGTTACATTACAACGAATAATGAGAAGTTCAAGAAGTCATTCAACAACACCCATAATTTAATTGGGAGAAAAATGCTAATATTAAAGAAAAGTTGATTGGAAGGGTGAGAAACGGGGAGTCTGAGCCATCACAGGAAGCTTCCCTTCCACTCCCTGTGGATTTATTTGATAGCTACTCTCCAAATTGCCCAGAAAGGAATGTGCTCATAGCTTTTGCTTGCCCAGACATGAGGCCAGGGAGTGTAAAATACAGAGATGGCTTGGGAGACAGGGGCAAAACAGGAGAGCTCTGGATGGATCCTGCCCTGTGAGTTAACAGCTCTTGCACATCTGCACAGGTTTCGGGCCCTGAACAGGTTCTAAGGGAGCCTCCCCCAAGCTGGGGCCCTCCAGAGCTGTTCAGGCCAATTTTGGGGGGGGGTAATGGGAGATGTAGGCAGACACATCTGGAGCCTACCAGCTCGGGCGAGCGTTGTCTACATCACTCTACTTGCTCCAGAAGTACATGTATGGAGATAATGACTATCTGGAGTGGGTAGAAATCCTTGCTATTGACCAAAAAGACTGAAGGGACAGGGAGCCAGTTCCCCCTCTTCATGTTTCCTTGATGAGTTATGTTTTTGGGATGTCACATCTCCTAAGCAGGCAAAAGATGTGGCATTTTAATTTTGCACTGCAGTAATGATATGCAGCAGCCAGCTCTCTGGCTCCATTGCATGCTTACAGCATGAAGAGTCAGGCAGAAGACAATGGCAGACCTACATTTTTGGGGTCCTGACGCTTGAACTGTTATAGGAGGGGGCCCTTTTAAACCAGTCACAAGGTCTGGGTAACCATTGCTATCTTCTTCAAAAGGGTTGTTCCACAACAGATCACTTTTTTAAAAAAGGGCTCTAAACTCACTTCTGGGACCCCTCTGGGATTAGGGGGCCTGAAGCTTAAGCTTTGTTAGTTCCACAGTAGGTCCATCCCTGGCTGAAGAGACATACTGGGGATGAGGGTGGACACTGGTGTTGTCGATTCTGCCTTAGGACTTGCAGCATTTTTGTGCCAGGCTGTGTGATGCTGACAGCTCTATTTCAGCTTGGAAAGAGCTTGCCAACCTTTCCTTTGGCTTCCTACTCATGCTAAAATTTCCACCCAACGTTTTATATAGGAAACTACATACATGAAGTCAGTACGGGCATCTTCACATCTTACTAAGGTATATGTGCATTCTTAATTACAAGTGGACCAGACTATAAACCTCAACTGGTACCAGGTTCCTGTACTGTGGCAGGCATTATGGAGCTATCCTGATGTGGTTGGATGGCAATTCCCATTGGCCATACTAGCTAGGGTGAATGGGAGCTGTAATCCAACAGCATCTGGAGGGCTACATATTCCTCATCCTAGCAGTACAGACAAAATAGAATTGCCTTTGGGTAACCAATGGCAAACCTTGACAGCATCTTAAAGAGCAGAGACATCACCTTGCCAACAAAAATCCGAATAGTCAAAGCTATGGTTTTTCCTGTCGTGATGTATGGAAGTGAGAGCTGGACCATAAAGAAAGCAGACTGCCGAAGAATTGATGCCTTTGAATAGTGGTGCTGGAGGAGGCTCTTGAGTGTCCCCTGGACTGCAAGGAGAACAAACCTATCAATTCTAAAGGAAATCAACCCTGAGTGCTCACTGGAAGGACAGATCCTGAAGCTGAGGCTCCAGTACTTTGGCCATCTCATGAGAAGAGAAGACATCTTGCAAAAGACCTTGATGTTAGGAAAGTGTGACGGCAAGAGGAGAAGGGGATGACAGAGGATGAGATGGCTGGACAGTGTCTGCGAAGCGACCAACACGAAACAACTATGGGAGGCAGTGGAGGATAGGAGGGCCTGGCGTGCTCTGGTTTATGGAGTCACGAAGAGTTGGACATGACTAAACGACGACGACGATCCCAAGACATGTGCCTTGAAATCTCCTACTAAAAAGGAAGGAAAAGAAAACAGTGGTTCAATCTCTACACCTCTTTTTCAGTCCTCCTGTCTTCCAAGGCTTCTCGCTTGCTGTGGGGAGGACAGACTCAAAATGTGCTGTACAGTAGAGGTGAGGAGGTAACAACAGAACTGGGGAAATGGTGGGAAGAAATTGTTGGAGTTTTTACAACCTCACACGCTGCCTGGAGAAGATCTGGCTGGGAGGGACCTTTCTGGGCTGGGGTGACTGTCAATCGATCTAGCACACACCAATCGTTCTCTCCTGCCTCTGAATTCGAAGAGAGCCCCGCTTTGAGTCTGTTGAGGTCTGTTGTTGAAGGCAGTCAGTTTGCTGTTCAATCCGTTAAATCGTAACTAATGAAAACTTTTATTCTTTCTACTATTCATGTCTCAGAGTGAGTTGTTGAGACTGTAAGTGCCATTTAATGAGAAAAGGCGTAGACTGCTCAGGGGAGCTGGATGCTATTCTGCTCCGGGCATCGCTGCACATCTGCTGCGCAGCTGGAGGGATTTCATCAGAAATTCAAAACCCTGCAACAGAAACCACAGCTGCGTGCAAGAGAAGAAGAAAGGCCACACCTAGTATCCAGCTTACAGCCTACACATATATGAAATCAACACACAAAGCAGCAGAGGAGGACACAGAAATGTTCAGTATGCACAACTTCCTGCAGAAAAGTGACATCTCTACAGGAGCTTCATCCTCTATGAAGCAGCCCAAGCTGTACACCTGAAGTTAAATTAAAGAAACACAGGCAGGTTCATACAGTGACACTCCAACAGTACTGTATCACCACATCTCACCTGTGGATCTGACTCAACGCTACAGACAGTCATATTCCTAAAGATGCGCACTGCTTCCATTGTCCACCCACGCGTATGTTTCTCTTGACTCACAACACAGAAGCTGTGCAGAGAACTCCCAGAGACCAGGGCTGTGTGTTGGTTGCCATTTCATACAGACACACAAATAAAGGAAAATTACACCGGGTACCAAATTCAGCTTCTGGAGACAACTTTTTCATTTCTTTTTTTAAAAAAGAAAGGCATGTTTCTAGCTCTGAGGGTTGAAAAGATATATTAGAAAGCATGTGGGCAAAACCTTCTGAAAGCTGAGATGGCAGGAGGGTGCAAAGTAGTGTACAGGATTTCTAGGGTTGAGGTGGGGGAAGAATTTCAGCCCCTCTGTTCTTTCTATTAATAAGGAGTAGAATAAACTGTGTAGAACAGTAGAGGGGCAACGTACACACAATTAGGAGAATGAAAAAGTTGCCTAATTTGCACAATGCATGCAGTATACAGAAATCACCTTTCTTGGCCACCATTTTGATATTTTTAAAACCTCAGGATACATGCAACTCCATCTAGTCCAATGTTTTCCCATCATATAGTCTCAGCACGGCCACATCATCCTTTCTAATTCACATGAAAACTTTACCCTGCGAGTTCTCTGAATCTTAGCAGAAGAGTTAAAACAGTGAGTGGTTCCCAACCTGGGGTCCCCTGATGTTCTTGGACTAAAACTCCCAGAAGCCTTCACCACTAGCTATGGTGGCCAGGATTTCTCAGACTGATAGTTCAAGAGCATGTAGGGACCCACGGTTGGAAAACACAGAGTAATTTTAAAATCCTGGCGACCACTCAAGCCCTACAGTGAGAGGAAATTATTGTCCAAAATTCAGAGAAAGGCTATATTTAATATTGGTTTCTGGTTGCAGAGCTGGCCCTTGGAAACAGCTGTATCACATTCATACTTCCCTAGCACCTCAAACAATGTTGTGTGATTCTCCAGATTCTGCATCTTATCTGCCAACTTTTTATCATACCAAATACCTCTCGGGATAGTGAGTGCCTGCACCATTACCAAAATATTGGCAGTAGCAGTTCCTAGCATCAGAAGCATTTAAGAGCCTCTGCAAGACTGGAGGTTATAGTGTCCCAGCACAACCCCTCAGCCTGCTCCTTTGGGTTTAGCTTTGCAAACAAACTATTTGCAAAACGCAGCAGCCATTCTTCCAACATTTGTGGAAGTAACACCAGGTCTGTTTCTTTCCCACTTTTCAAATGTCCTGTCAAGCTGCTTGTGAGAAGAGAGGAGAACTGTCATATTTGGCTTGGCAGAATTACGGTCCAGCCATTTGTCTCCAAGAACTGGCATGTTGGCCCTTTGTCCTGCTTTCTCCCAAGAAAAGGAAGATCGCGGTGCTCAAGATTCAGTCTTGCTCCTTCCCAGATCATCTGCAGACTCCATCTATAAAGGCATCCCCAGTTCAGCTGAACTCTCTTCTTGGCTTCCATTCAGAGACTGAAATTTGGAGACAATGCGGGCAGTCTCCGGGGTGATCTCCAAGTGCTTGCGTTTCCCACGGGTGTCTGGAGAGGCACTGCGGCTATTTGATCCTGGCTGCAGGAGGCCACTTCCTGACTCCAAGCCAGACAGGGTAGTAGCCAGCAGGGCCAGGCTGGAAACCCTGGGAATGTTGGCCCGGGGATGTTTCACAGGCATCCGGCTGAAGCGTCCTCTGGACTGGGGGCAGACGGAGGCATCTAGGTCACACAGAGGGTCCTTCGGTTCAGTGTCATCCCTGCTGTTCAACTCTGAGAGGAAAAAATGGGGCATGAGAGTTAGGGAATGAGACATCCTGTTCAGTCTACCATCATGCTTGCCTAAGAGAATCGGCTCAGAACATTTATAAAAGAGGTGCTCCCTCAAGTGGTGAGAGATGCCGATCATGTGAGTATCTCACTTATGTACCTTGCACTTAGCATACTTTGTTTCGTGATTGGTCATCACAGTATTAATTTGCAAGTCCAATTTTGAAAAATTTATTTCTTATGTCCTGTCAAGTCAGTTTATAGCAAACTGAATAAGGCTTTCAAGGTAAGTAAGATTTACCAGTTCGACAACCTCAGTGAGTTTCTGTGACTGAGCAGGGAATTGAACCCAGACCTCCTAAGTCCCTATAGCCTGTCCCCCTATCCACTACACCATACTGGGTATTCCCCACTGAGGAACCTCTAAGCAAATCCTAGTGTAAGAGGGAAAACAGGTGAAATGAAGGAAATAAGCACTCCTCTCAATGTCTAGTTCAGTGTTTCCCAACCTTGGGTAACCCGAGTGTTCTTGGACTACAATTCCCAGAAGCCCTGTCCAGCACAGGTAATGCTGAAGGCTTCTGGGAATTTTAGTCCAAGAACATCTGGAGAGCCAAGGCTGGGAACCACTGGACTGTGACCCCCAAGAGGTAGCAAGATAACCTCAGGGAAGCAGATAGCACTCCTCATTGACTACTCTCTCTGAGTCCTCAGAGAGGCAAGAGGCAGCAGAAAATTGGATCTTCCAATCGATGCTGCAACCATTGACCTATGCCCCTAACTCTAACACTGATTGCTCATAGTGGAAGCAAATACATCAGCTACCTCACCTTGGTGGCTTTTGGGTTCCAAAAGGCCTATTCTGCTATCAACGTGTATGGCTCTAATGTCAGCCTACCTTTCATAAGCAACTGAGAAGAAGCCTCTTGATTAGGCCAAGAGTCTCTTAACTAACCTCTTGTTTCCAAGATTGGCCCATTATATGCCTCTGGGAATTCTGTCCTGGCTTTCCCAAAGAATCCTAGGAACCACAATTGATGGAAGTGCTGAGAATTTTATTCTAGATCCCCAGCCCTACCTTCTTTCCGTATGACCATGGTTCCCAGAGTTTCCTAAATATGGCCTGACTATTAAACCAGTTTAAGTCTGAAGTGTACAATTGCCTTGAAAATTCCTCCAATGTCATATCTTGACCACTGTTTTCATCCACCTATAGTTTAGTTTCAGCATTACAGTACCTCACTTCTATTCTGCACCATGAGGATTAATCTACTTTCTTTCTCCTGTGCATCAAACTCATCATATGAAGAGTATGTGTCTTTCCAGCAATCCCTTGCACTAAGGAAGTAAAGAACCTGGTGCCCTTAAATAACAACACCACCTAGCCAGCTCCTATTGCTGAGACAGAGGTGTTACATACAGCACTGATGTTACCTGTCTGTCATGGGTTTGGAGGGAAAGTTCCATCCTATGGGGAGTGGAAGGCGGGACATCAGGAGGAGGGGCTGTACTGTATATATATGTGGAGCGTGTGAGAAGAGCGAAGAAGACAAGAAGCAGCAGCTGGGAAGAAGAAGCTGGTGTGGGAGTCTGTGTGTCAGACAGGGTACTACTGTGTGTCAGTCAGTACCAACCTGATAGGTTCAGGTGTCTGTATGGTTAGCCAGAACTGATAGGTTCAGGGTCTGTGCTTCAAGTTAAGTGTTCTATGTGAACCAAACTGTGTGCATGTATGAATGAGATTAAGCCACGTTACTATATCTTATTCACCTGATCATTTTATTTTCCCTGTGTGTTGTTTTAAATAAACCTTATTCTTTTATTTGTTAAAAATCCATCCCTGGTCTGTGTGACTTCTTATAGGGAATGGTTGGTGGCAGCTTAGTTAACTGTGGCATATCCCAGTAGGTCTGGGTTTGTCACATTGATTGGTGTCCAGCGGGTGGGATACGACTGGTCCAGTTGTCCAGCGGTCCAGCAAAGCCTTGGCAAGTGTGCCCAGAGCAAGGGGGGTCTAGTCAGGGACAATCTGAG